TTTATCAATCGACAACTAAAGTAAGCATGACGTAAATACATATACGTTGACCAGAATGAATTCATATTGTGACGTTGAAATTTCATAACCGTTTATTAGTGATGAGTCATCACTGATGACCGATGATAATATATACATTTTTTATATTATAATATAATATATAATATATTGTATGTTGTATATTCTTCACATTTAAAGAATATAAAATATAATAGGTACCTAAATCAAGTTTAGTAAATTAAATGACATATTTTATTCATTAAGTGACGTACAATAGTTGACAGTTGTTTTTAATACGACATAATATAATACGATAATTAAAACTTTTTAAATGTAATACGTAATTACTACATCAATAATGTTTTTTAATATTTTATTAAATTAATAACACCAAAAAAGAAAAAAGAAAAGAAAAAAAATGATAATAATATAATAAAAAGGTTATAATAATATAATTTAAAATTATTTAATCACTAGTTTAGACGACTAGGTGATTCTTTAAAAGTTTTCTTTTCATCCTTCTTCCACATAGTGGGCCGTGTCTGTGAAAAATGTTCAAGGTTTGCTTCTGCTTTATCTCTACCTGCCCTATCCTTCTCCAAATCCAATTTGTCCCACTCCTTTTGATAATTGGGTGATGGCTTATCATCTTTCGAAGAAGACGAAGAAGAAAACATGTCGTTGGTAGTCTAAAACAAAACGATGAGATTTTTACAATTATTTATATCACTTATATTTAAGTGATGACATTTACCGTTATCATATTTAAACGTCACTACATTGAAACATTTTAGGATAAAATGTTAGTCACATATAAATATAATTATTAAAATGTTATTAACAAACTAAATATATATTATTATAATTATAACATTTGGTTTTATGAATAAATGAGTTAACCCAATCAATTACGTAAAAAGACCATAATAACTATTGCATTCTCTAATAGTTATAATGAAAACTTTAATAACGCAATACAAAATAACTGGGCAATTGGTCACATAAGCATGAGACTATCACTGATAGTATTGTACTACATAATATTAAGACGTATAATATTGTATAATGTATTATGTAGTGAATTATACTTCAATTATCAGATTAGGTACCTAGGTAGAAATTTAGAAATACTAAAGAACTTATTTATACTTAGAAATTGTAGTGCGTATAATATATTGTATAATAATTATTTTTAATCTGAAAATTGAAATATAGGTAGGCGGCGGTGGTTCAGAGCAGTCCGAAGGGGCCTCCTACCCACCAAAGGCTGTATTCCTAAAAATGTTATATTGTTAAAAAAACATTACAAACAAAAAAACAAAAAAATATAATATTATACTATTGAGTATGATAAATCTTGTAAAAGAATGTAGTTGGAGGTATTACGTATGACTCCTACTATGTACCAGTTATTTATATTATGTTTAAAACAAAATAATAAAAATGAATGTTTTAGGTCAAATAGACCATATTAAAGATGTATTTGCCAATTCATAAAATAGAAGACTTGAATTCGTGTTGTAAAAATTGTTGTTAAGTTTTCTGAAAATTATAACTTAGGCCCTAACTCCCAAACCAAGTCTCTAGAATCGCCCCTGTAGGTAGGTAAATAGGTAATAATAACATATTATTAAGACATCCTAATATAGTAATATTATGAAACAAAATCATACCTATTAATCCATTTTAAAGTTCATAACGCCCCTTATGTATAGTTACTAGTTAGGTAGAGTTTACAACAAAATAAATTTTTTTTTAACGTATTCGGTACTGGTGTGAGCTTATAGTGTTGAATAATAAAATATAATGTCTTATTGTCGTTTAAGAATAATATTTTTATGTTTTGAAATTATATTATATTTTCATCGACTACCGGATAGGGCCTGATTACCTTTAGGATTGATCGGTAAAATTAACACATAGTATTTAGTCCAATCAAATTTGGCTATTTTAACTATGGTACTTGACCAAATTGTATTGCTTATTTCCACTGGAATATAACCAATTTAATTATTAACATAAGTCAATAGCAGTGCGTCAATCACATTTCCATTTAACCAGGAGTTGTTTTGCAATTTACGAAAATCTTCACTATACAGAGTCACACATTTATAGCCTTCACCCAAATACACACCAACTAGATACTGTTCACTTAAACTTGGAGAATAACTTAAGTATTACTATTTAACTATAAGTCGTTAATCGTTATAATATGGTCTTATGGACTGATTTTGTAACGTGATAAAAATTATTATTTATTTCGGGTAACGCAAATGTAATTTAAATATATACCTATATATTTAATACGTATTCCAGGTATAATTTTATTACATTCCTTGCTAAAATAGTCAAATGTTTAATTATACCTATAAATGAGAGCTTCGCGTTATTCTGTGAATGAATTGAATGAATTTTAATATGCACGCAGTGGTTGATTATATTGCATAGTTACTACCCCCCCCCCCACAAAGTACAAACCTTTCCTACACCGTTATTCCTTACACCTATACGGCTATACCGTATTCGTATTTTAAATAGGTGGTTAATTATATTATATTTATGACAGACATCCTCGCAGTTCTTTCAAATCCAGAGCAGCTGTATAAAAAATGTAACCGGAAGGGACACTTTTTGAAGGTATGTAGATCAAAAATAAAATCCGATAGCGCATCTGTGTCCACGGACCATGGCTACTCTTACTTGTGTAACCGCAACTGTACCAGGCCTCTTATCTAAAGCTATTATTATAGTAAAAGTAAACAACATTGATGAAAATACTCTCCATTGCAACTGGTAGCTCTAACAGTTTAATTAATAAAAAATTTGTTCAAATTCACAAAATAATATCATATCCAAAAATGGACAGTTTCGCCACAACTACCTCCATTCATCAAACTTAAAAGGTTATGTTCTTGTTGATTTACCGTTTTAAGGACACACTTACAAAAATCTCCAACTATCTATACTCCCTAAATTATTCTCAGATATTTTAATAGGTGACGATGGTTAATCGGGCATGTTTGTTGATTTGTATTATTATTTTTTGTAAATATATCTTATATATAAATGAATGACGGTGTGTAGATTAGACCTATGGGAAGGAGATACGCTAATTTAAAAATGGTTAAATTTGGTTTTTTTTATTCATCGGATTTTAGTACACGGGATCAGCTAGTTATATATTATAATCAGGCGATACTAATTAATATGAATAATTAATGATCGATTTTTATTTATTTTTATTATTATTATTATTATTCACTCAACAAAAGACCGTAATATGTCCCGATGAAAAAAACTGATCAAATTTTCATCTTATATAAATAAAATCAATATTTCTTACCGTTCTAAAAATGGTGTAAAAATGAATTGTTGTCTTTATATTGATATAGGTACAAGAGAGCAGAATAAATAACAATACAAGAAACAGAAATATTTTAATGTTGAACAACTATGAACTGATTTTTGAATAAACGCTTATCGTTTTTCGGGATAAGGTTTTTATAAAGAAATCTTATCGATGATTCATTCCTTGGAGATGTAGTAATGTAATTAAAGGAATAGTCATATTTAAGTGATGACATTTACCGTTATCATATTTAAAAGTCACTACATTGATAGTCACATATCAATATAAATATTAAAATAATATTAACAAACTAAATATATATTATTATAATTATAACATTTTGTTTTATGAATGAAAAACTTACCCAAGCAATTACGTAAAAAGACCATAATTACTATTGTATTCTCTAATAGTTACAATAGTAGTTAAAAATATTAAAAATACATAGGCACACATTTTTTTATAAGCATTAAAATTTTGAGTTTTGATAACATTTACAAGTATGATTAGTTTTTTTCTTATGTTTTTCACCCTACTTAAAAACGAATCCTTTCAATTAGGTATAAAAATATATGGTAACAAAAAAAAAATTAGATGTACTAAGTAAGAACGTCGCATCTTACACTTATAACATAAACACCGTAAATATATTTATAGACACGAAGTATTATAATAACATGTTAATTATTATAAATTAAGTTTGTAACGGTATAGCTGTATAAGTACATAATATTAATTGTTGTTATTAATTGTATTATAAATCATAATATCAGAAAAACGCGAGTCTTAAGTGGTTAAAAATCAACAATCTTGTTCAATATTGTAGGACAATATACTTTTATTGTTACTAAAAACTATTGACTAATATTAACTAATAGCCTTTTATTTGAGGCTGGTAAATTTAGTAAACTTAAAATGCTTCACATACATTGGGAATACGGCAACCTGCCAAGAGTTTTATGAACTAATACTAGGTTAGGTTCTGTATCCTAATAATTAATTTTAATCTGTGATTTAAATTAAACTACACATACTAGTTGCGGACGAATTATTCAGGTTAGGAATTATAATATAACAATTGCGGACACGAGTTTCGTTGTCATAATACTAATTGCGTACAGAGCTTTTTTTAATAAAAACTACGTTAGTTGTGGACACAAATATTTCATTTCACCACTTTTTCAGGACTTATGACAATAGCTAAAAAAAATTTTGGGAGGTGGGGTAAAAATATTTGTGTCTTGCAAAGAGCAATCGTTATTTTTAAAATGTTGTTGAATTATAGATTGTTTTAATTTTGTGGAAAAAATTGTTTATAAAATATTTATAGATTATCGTCATTATTAATTATTGTCATAGTTTTTAAAACAGTCTGTATATATGATATTCTACTGATTTAACCACGTGAATATTGTAACATAATCCGCAATTAGTATCTTATATTTGTGTCCGCAATTCGTATGTTACCTTTTTAGATTTCGTCCGCAACTATCATGGTTTTTGTCACTTTGTCCGCAATTCGGAAACTCCGAAATTAAACATAATTTTGTTTATTTTTTTATCAACTGGTTGAGCCCTAAAAGGAAGTTACACTTTTTGAAGGCATGTAGATCAAAAACAAAATCCGATAGCGCATCTGTGTCCACGGACCATGGCTACTCTAACTTGTGTTATCGCAACTGTACCAGGCATCTTGTCTAAAGCTATTATTATAGTTAAAGTAAACAACGTTGATGAAAATACTCTCATTGATACTGGTAGCTCTAACAGTTTAATTAATAAAGAATTTGTTCAAATTCACAAAAAAATATCTTATCCAAAAATGGGCAGTTACTTTTGGCAACAAATACCTTCATTCATCAAAATTAAAAGGTTATGTTCTTGTTGATTAACTGCTTCAAGGACACACTTACAAAATTTCCAACTATCTATACTCCCTAAATTCATTCTCAGATATTTTAATAGGTGACGATGTACTAAGAACTCACTCTAGTATTGACCTTACCTTTTAGGGACCAAAACCTATATTATCCATTTGTAATATGACCTTTGTAAATATATATCGGATTTAAAATATTAAAAATACTAGACTAGATTTTTTTATAAGCATTTTACGTTTAAACGTTAACAAATTTTATCAAATTTATATAATAATTGATATAAATTATTTATACCTAACAACATTTAAACTTTCCCACCGCATTATTGCCTTAATTAATTATTCATTATGGGGACGCCTTATGAATCTGATCCATGGGCATTTGGGGTGCTTTCTGGTTGACACTGGATAAGTTACTAATGATTTCACTTTATGTAAGTAGGTAATACAATTTTTAAGATATGGTCCGAATTTTAGACTATAACAGAAATGAACATTATAAAAATTTCAAGTTTAAAAGGACATATAATCGTGAACGAAAACGATAAGAAAAAAAATCAAAGGTATTCATACAAGTCCAGTAGATACAGTGGGATCAGTAGTGATTCCAATTTATATTAACAAACAACATTTCGTATTAAAATTCGACATTGTACATAATAATTTTCCAATACCCGAAGCATTTATAATAAGCATATCATTTTTGAAATTAAATAATGTCGTTTTGGATTGGGATGAAGAAGTATTAATAATCCCAGAAAACGTAAGTAATAACGCACTAATTATTCCGCCGAGGAGTAATTGTGTATTATGAATAAGAGCCGACGAAGAAAACAATTACGAAGCAATAACGATAAATAAATATGAAATTAATGAAGATGTAATTATAACTAATAGTATCAGTCCGGTCAAAGATGATAAAATAATAAGTAATATAATAAATATATCCGAACAACCGTTTATAATCGAACAATTAACCAAGAGTAATTTAAAATGGGAATCGTACCACGGTAACATTTTTATTGCTAGCTGAAGCAATTAAATAGAATTATAAAGATCAAAGAAACTATTAATACAGAGCACCTTAATCACGAAGAACGCGATAACATATTAGACCTGTGTAGTCGTTTTTCTGATCTATTTTTTCTCGAAGACGATCTTTTGAGTGCAACTGACATTGTTAAGCATAAAATTAATACACCTAGGTATGTTAAACCGATTAACATACGTTCATACAGGCTACCACACGCGTATCAGGACGAGATAGAAAAACAAGTAAAAGAAATGAAAGACTCGTAGTAGTAAAAAATAAAAAGATTTGAACGGTAACCCAAAGTTACGAGTATGTGTAGATTTTCGAAAATTAACCGAGGTTACGGAAAATGAAGCATACGCTTACCTAATATATTACAGATACTAGAATCCTTAGGCTCATCTAAGTACTTCTCTACCCTTGATCTTGCCAGCGTTTTGACGCGGCCCGCGTAAGTAGCAAGTACAATGTACAAGCACTATAGCGACCAGTCTATCTTATCTCCAACCACCACCACGGGATGCAAGCAGCGCGACCGGGTTGACTCTCCCAACGAGCCGGTAACGGAAAGCCGGGACGGAGGGACTGTGTCGCGTAAGACGTACAACGGTCGGCGGAAAAGCCGATTCGAGATCCACCATCGGACAGTCGGACCGATAACAGATCGTCCGACGTTAAACTCATTTGCCCGAGCGGCACGTCATGTATTATTATATTTTGGTCACAATATTATAATACATAATTTGTGACATTCTTAAAGTGTTTGTGTTGTGTTTTTTTCATCATCTCAATCCTAACCAAACACTTCGACCGGACCACGATCAACCTTGAAGCAATCATCGTGTCCTCGTCAGGTTATCATCAAATAATGATTGATAATTGAGACACCCATAAAATAGCTTTTTCTACAAAATCAGAGCATTATCATTTTTTACGTTTACCATTTGGACTTAGTTCTGCGCCGGCAACTTTTACTCGAGCCATGAAATCTGTTTTAATAGGCTTGGAAGAATTATGTACGGCGTACTTTGATGATATTGTAGTCCACGGGTCAAGTTTAGTAGATCATCAGAATAGATTAGAGCAGGTGTTTACGAGATTAAGACTACATAAACTAAAACTGGAACCCAATAAAATATGTATGTTTCTACGTAAAAAGGTGTTATATTTAGGGCACGTTATCAGCGAAAACGGAGTAACTCCTGATCCAAACAAATTAAATTGTATTAAAGAATATCCGAGACCACTAAACGAGAAAGACGTATAGTCATTCTCAGGTTTATTAAATGATTACCACCGATTCGTTGATACCTTTGCCAAAATAGTAAAACCTTTTACTAGCTTATTAAAGAAAAACACACCGTTTGTGTGGACGGACATGTGTGAAGACGCATTCCAAGAATTAAAAAACGCGTTAATGAATCCACCTCTACTTATCTACCATAATTGGGAAAGCGGAAATTTTAACCTCATGACTGATGAAAGCCAATACGCGATTAGAGCGGTCTTGTCTCAAGGTGACGTACCTAAAGATCAACACATAGCTTACCCAAGTAGAACGTAATACAAAAAGAATTGTTAGCGATAGTATGGGCTGCAAAGTATTTTAGGCCTTACTTATACAGAAAAAATTTTAAAATAATCACCGATCACTGTCAGTTTTACTAATTCTAAAGTCCTGAGCTTAATACAATCATCAACGATATATTGCATATTTATACCTAAATAAGCTCTATTTAGTCTAGTAACACCGTCGAGTTTGAGTGAAATGAGTTTAGATCGAACGTCATTGGCTATTTCATATTGTATGAGAAGCGACTCTGAATGTACCTACATGTTTCCTAGGATGTAAAAATGTAAAATTATTAACTAAAATTATTGTTATTATTTTTGTTCATGTTAATTAACGTCACAACACTAGAAACTTAGATTTAAAGTATGTCATTACCTAAGAAAATGTATGGCGTGGCCTCACAATTTAATATTCAATGAGATGTGTAACGTCATAGATCCATATTCCATAGTCTTAGGGGTAGCGTATATTTTACGTGTGAAGTATCTAGATTAATACTACTATTTCAATCGTTAAATATAATTTTTTTTTCATTTTTTTATGTAACCTTAACTGGTTTCTTTTTTGTGTTTATGGCACTGTTGGGATTATAATTATCTTAAACTCTCTAGTTTTTTCAAAGTAGATATAACTAAGATTAAATTAGTTCATGTCTATAGGGTTCTAACATAATAATAATAATAATGTCAGGGTTGACGAAAAAAAAACCACAAAAATGATTTAAAATAAGGTTATTTGGAATTTTTTTTTACAATTATTATGTTTTATTTATAATATTTATAATATTATGATTATGTTTTACGTTTATTTTTAAAAATTATATTTCATAAAACACGTTTTGACGAACTGCACTTATAATATATTCTTATAAACATTTACTAGGTGTCTTTAAAATTATGTAGTCTTAGAAAAATTTTTAATTCAATAAATATATTTTTTGGTTTAAAACAAAATGAAATGAAGATCATAATTTGGCGTTTTTAGGGCATATACGCATTATTTTATGGTATATTTTGGGTTTCATTAGAGAATTACATTCCCAGCCATAGTTAAGACCTTTTATAGTTGACAATAAGAAAACAATACCTGATTCAGAAACTACCTAACAAAATTTAGATACATTAAAAGAGAATCACCTCCTAAATAATTTGCAGTAAATAGGTGGTTGGCGGTTTACCATTTTAAGTATAATAATTTGTATCATCACAGGATGACACACAAGAAATAGTACCTACCAAAATATCAGGAGTTTTAAAGTATGGTAGTATATGGTAGTATCATGGTAGGTACCTAGGTATACTACAAAATTCTAAAAATCAGAAGTATTATTTTAGGAAAAAATTATTTTAAGCATGTTTAAAAAATAATTCTGTATATTATGAAATATTGTTACAATTTATGGCGGCTTACGCGTACGCAGGGAGGCCAATAGGCTGAAGCCCTCTCCCCCTTTTTCTGTATAATTATTAATTTTTAAAAAATATTTATCAAGTTTCAACTGTCGACAACTAAAGTAAGCATGACGTATATTCATATACGTTTACCAGAATGAATTCATATTGTGACGTTGAAATTGCATAACAGTTGATTAGTGATGAGTCATCACTGATGACCGATGATAATATATAAAATGTTTATATTATAATATAATATATAATTTATTATAATATGTTGTATATTCTTCACATTTAAAGAATATAAAATATAATGAGTACCTAAATCAAGTTTAGTAAATCAAGCGACATATTTTATTCATTACGTGACGTACAATAGTTGACAGTTGTTTTTAATACGACATAATATAATACGATATTTAAAACTTTTTAAATGTAATACGTAATTACTACATCAATACTATTTTTTAATATTTTATTAAATGAATAACACCAAAAAAGAAAAAAGAAAAGAAAAAAAATGATAATAATATAATACAAAGATTATACCTAATAATATAATTTAAAATTATTTAGTCACTAGTTTAGACGACTAGGTGATTCTTTAAAAGTTTTCTTTTCATCCTTCGGCCACATTGTGGGCCGTGGCTGTGAAAAATTCGCAAGGTTTGCTTCTGCTTTCTCTCTACCTGCCCTAACCTTCTCCAAATCCAATTTGTCCGATTCCTTTTGGAAATTGGATGATGGCTTATCATCTTTCGAAGAAGACGAAGAAGGAAACATGTCGTTGGTAGTCTAAAACAAAACGATGGGATTTTTACAATTATTTTTAACTTTAACTTAAATCTTAATTATTGATTAATAGAAAATATCAATAGTGTTCATGTTTACTATAGATGTCACTTGTAGGTATTTCATAAAAAAATAGAAGCATTAGGTAGCAACAATACATTATGTGGTATAAATAATTTTCTCCATGCCTAATGGGAATTACATCTAAAAAGTTTAA